AGGACAGAAAAGACAAATGATAATTTTTGTTCCTAATAATTCAAAGCTGCAACACGATTCGAACTTCAAAAAACTCCCAGAAATTCAAGGAACAGTGGCAAAGCCTGTGGACTTCAGAGAAAAATTGATGTCAAAAAAATCCGCACTGCGAAGAATTTCGCCATGCTCAGCAAATGCGAATGGTTCGTTTTCCTTGTCAATGACACAGTTCTGCCAAGAAAGTATTATACAAAAGCGAACAATTTCATGTCCAGCCACCTTAAATGGTCCAACAAATTCGCGCTTCTACCCAAAAACTACTACAAAAGCACTAGAAGACTACTTTGAAAACGAAAACCAACAATACGACGAAACTATGTCCAAGGCAAAACATCTTTTTAAGTGGCTCTCGGATCAAGCCGAGTTAAACAACGCCAGTTAATTGCTTATGGACATAAGAGCTAAAATGTAAAGCAAACAACCTTGAGCAACTATTGTTTTTGCTGTTAAACTGAATCCTAAACTTGTTAAATCTTTTTACCCACTATTTTTTTATTTTTTTATTTTTTTTTTGGTTAGAAACGCCGACTCAGTTTACCGCTAGTTTCCACCATTTATAGACCTATTTGATTTTTGTAGTATATTTTTCAATGTTTCAATATTTGAGAGTTTTCGAGGACCACACTCAGCCAGTGTGCTGATTCTTTGTAGTGTTACCCTCATTAAACTGTTGTTATAATTATAATTAGTGTGCTTGATGAAAATAGTTCTTTTAAAAACAAAACTATCCAGAGAACTGATTAAGATATAATTATATATGAAATGAATACTTTTCTCGGCGAGACTATTAATCATTTACGGAAAAATATCAGGCAGACTCTTACAGTTTAATCACTATTTGATCATTTACAAACAAGAAAAGCAGTTTACCACTTGTTTACATGTGGACGTGATTTTCGAAGACCGCCGATGCAGGTCTGGCCTTCTTGGACCAATCTCGAGCCCAGAGTCCACACGGCTAATGTCAGCGGTATGCTGACGCCGCAYAAACTGCAGGACAGCAAAARTGTGGGCTCTGACTGCCCAGTGACTGCCTAGCCCAGGACTCAAAAGGGGTCCAGTATACTTTGTGCGCGCATGTGCACAATTATCCAATCAGAATGGATAACATCTTAACAATTGATGAAGGTTGGTTCGGTATTCATYAAAGTCGTGCGTGCGTATAACAGACATGGTAAGACAGGATCAATATTGCCCTATGGCATAATGACGTCACGTTTACATTGTCGATAGATGCTCAGAGTCTCTAAATTTGGACCTGTTAATATTCTTTCCGAAAGTAGAACTTTATTGTAYCGAGTTTTGATGTACAAAATGTATCAATGATTACTCATGTATATTTTATTTGATATGCAGGCAATCCGATCCCCTCTGGCGACCATAATCCTCAGAGTTAAAACAATACAATGCTTTGGTGTTACGAAATTATGCGATAGGGTTGTTGCAGAACTCATGGATCTTTATCGACTGCTGTGAACTAAAAGAAGATACATGAATAAGAAAGCCATTGAAATGTATCATTTTCTTTCTAAAGGCCCGTTTACACTTGCGATTTTTGCAGAGCGATTCTCGCGGCGATCGCCTGGCTCTTTACACGTACGATTGTACTATTTGCGCGATAGCAAAGTGGCGATTATCGCGCTGCAAAAATCGCAATTGTAAACGGGTTTATACTGGAGATTTTTGCGGCGATTTTTGTGGTCATAGATTCTAGAGAATAATGCTAAAGAATTTTAACTTGAAAACTTCTATTCAGAACACTGAGATGAGTTTTTTATTCAGAACACTGAGAAGAGCTAACTAAACATCTCCTTAGAAGGAAAAGGCAAAATCTACTATATTTTTGAAAATCGATCGAAAAATTACAGCAAAAATCGCCAGTGTGAATGAGCCTTACAAGCACCCTCATCAATTTCGTGTGATAAAAATGAACGGGTGTCAGTGAGCCAGGTCACACCTGATTACAACACTATAGACACAGTGTCTATATTTCGAAGTAGTGGGATTAATCTTGGATTCAATACATAATGGACACTCTAACAACACAATAGACTCCTGTTTACCACACACATAAGTGATTATTCAACTACTCGGGGAGTTATAAATGAATCATGTTTTGATTGCAAATTGCATGAGATTGCAAAAGTAATGCCGAATTCAACGATTTCAGATTAAGATCGCGAACGATAGTTCGGTACTGTGTATGTTCCTCTGATGAATCATTTAAATGTTTACGGTGAACTGATTGGCATCCTGTTTGTCTGTTTACTATAGACAATTAGGAAGCAGCATTAATTGATATTTTATTCCTAATGACACGAGTATTTAGAAGGGCCTCTATCTTGTGGCCCTCTATCGCTTTCATGTAGATATTGTTTTACTTGATATGATTATAGATGTTTGAAGTGCGGATCCAAGAATTGGGGACAAAGAGAGGCATTTTCAATGTTGTTGATAAAAACAATATAAAGCCCATTTAACCTCATTTAAACCACTTAACCCCCCTTAAATTCCAGCTGGATCCTCCCTTGTGTTTATTGCATTAAGTCACTCACTTTAAGTACTTCAGTCCCATGTACCTTTTCGGCTATAGCTTTTATGTACTATAATTGTCCATGTAATCCAAAAATTATTATAGGCATCGCTCTTGGTGTAAACATGGTAAAGGATACTCGCAGGAGAACGTGCATTTCTTCGCTCCTCTAGCAAATTTTAAGATGAAGGATTCCATTACATGGCCCGAGAAAAACTATCGTCGACTTGTAGTCACCACAGACCTGAAAGAGCATTCCTCCTTTGAAAAATATCGAGGACAGCTATTCGATTCAAGGGTTGAAAACCCCGCAGCAGTTCGACCGGCGACTGCACTATTAGTAAAGAGGAAACAAACTCTTATAACAGCTTCGTTAACCAAACATTCACAGCCAAAAACAGATCCGAAAAGAGAAATGATGATTTTTCTTCCTTCTGTTTCAAGGCACCGCGATTTGAACACGGATCAATTCCTGTCAGAAATTCCTTGCTTAGCAACTCTGAATGCTTTGGCTTTCACGCAGTCTTGTCAAGCAAGTAATCAGTTGATTGAACCACAGAAAAAAAGGACAGAACATGAGGAAACAACTCTGGATGGAAATAATGTAAAGCAGCCGACTAAACCGCGCAGAAAAATTTCCTGTCCAGCAATTGTGGGTTCAGTACCTTTGCCGCAGTCCTGTCTGGAAAGTGATGTAAGCAATCTTTTTGAGCCACGGCCACAGAGAACAAATTCAGATCCTAAGGCAACGACTCTGGATGGCAATAGTGTAAAGCAGCCGACTAAACCGCGCAGAATTCGAAAAATTTCCTGTCCAGCAATTGTGGGTTCAGTACCTTTGCCGCAGTCCTGTATGGAAAGTGATTTTAGCAATCTGTTTGAGCCACGGCCACAGAGAAAAAATTCAGATCCTAAGGCAACGACTCTGGATGGAAATAGTGTAAAGCAGCCGACTAAACCGCGCAGAAAAATTTCCTGTCCAGCAACTTTTGGTTTGCCTTTGCCGCAGTCCTGCCTGGAAAGTGATGTAAGCARTCTTTTTGAGCCACAGAGAAAAAATTCAAATCCTAAGACAACAATTCTGGATGGAAATAATGTAAAGCAGCCGACCAAACCGCGCAGAAACATTTCCTGTCCAGAGACTCTTAACGCGGGTTTACCTTCGCCGCAGTCCTGCCAAGAAAGTGATACAAGCAGGCAGTTGTTTGAGACACAGAAGAAACTTTCAGGTCCTGGGCTAGAATCTTTGAATGTGGATCCAACTTTGACTAGTAAGCCCTTCCAAGAAAACAATGTAAAGAAGATGAAGGCACGTACTAGAAAGGTTTCTTGCCCAGCAAAACTGAATGCGGGATTGGTTTTGACGCAAACCTGTCAACACTCTGATAAAGAAAAGATTGAACCATTGAAAGGCTTAGCAACTCTGAATTTGGCTCTAAATGAAAATAATTTAAAAGAACTAGAAGAACAAATTGATAAGGACAGCCAGGACTGCGACGAAACTATGTCCAAAGCAAAGCGTTTGTTTAACTGGCTCTCGGATCAAGCTGATCTAACCGAGGGGTAAGCCCTTCAGAGAGATCTAAATATTATAAGTCATGCACATATAAAGAAATACGAGTGTGGTCAGCTAACTGCTTGAAGTATTGATAATTCGAGTCTGAGCTTTCGCTGTCCACATCATCGTCAGCAGACAAGTGAATCTATGTTTAGTTTTGTTTCGATTTTGTTATGTATAGTTTTTTACTTGCGACCATATAAAGCTATACTTATCCCACACGTTGTAATTGATGAAAAGTTCAAGAGTGAAATGTAAATATATTTAATTACACTTAAGACTGAATTTGTGATAAAAAGAGTTTTGATTTCTATTAAGTTCTAATTTCATGCTGTTTTTGGTGTGGAATGCATGGGATGATATTATCGACAAAAACCTTTAAGTGTATGTCTATATCTGCTATATGTACAGAAGTATCGTCTGGTTCCATAAGACAAAACAAAAGTTGAAAATGTGTGCTGTATACGATGGATTGTCATACATGCACCGTGAAAGCTAGGATTAACATGACTTAATATTTATAATAACGTAACCCTCTGGTAGTTTAGGGAGATTATCATGTAGTTGTATATCTAAAAAAAAATAGCTTAAAACAACAGCGTTAATTGCATTTATTTATTCAGTTCCTTCCTTCCTGCCTTTATTTGCATTTATTTAAAAATTGGTTCCGATCACGATTACCCACAGTATCTTTCGGTCGTGTTATGCACCCATTGCATGCTGGGATGTCAATCAAGTTGGTATACCTGCTAAACACTTTGTTAGTTTATAAGTAAACCTTCTGTCAAACGCGTATATCCATAATGAAACGTGCCTTAGTTGGACAGACCTCACGTACGATGATCTAACGTTTGATAGCATCGTTATCATTCCAACACGCTCATTAAGCATGGTCAATAGAGCTTTATACATTTACCGCTGTATCTTATGACAGCTGATTCATATACGTGAACAAAATTTTAATGAATTTGGAACGACCCCGGGCAAACAGAACTAAATGAGCAGATGAAATATCTGCAGAAAATATTACTGTTGGCATTGAGAACACTAGAATTCATATTCATGCGCGTCACCAGACGATAAATAATATAATATAATATAAATAATAACGATAAAAAACTGATGATCAAATGCCTTCTAGTTCTTAATCGTTTCACGGATTTTTTTGCAAATACTTCGGATGACATCAACCCGGCTTCAGACAACTTAAGGCTATCACGGAGAAAAAAACATTAAGTTCTGCTCAGTTTTTTTTTTTTATATCAACAGCAAATTAAGGAATTTGGATGTGAATGTAGATAAGGACATGGATAATCGGTAAATTCACAAAGATTACACGTAAAAAGGCTTTCAAGAGAATTGCTGTTTGGGAATGTCAGACCCTGCATTAGTTAGTGCCTTCAAGCAGGCTACCTTGGCATTTGTATAAAATTGACAAAAGTCAATGTAAGTTACACGGACGTAGCACTTTGACAGATGAGTCACGTAATGGGAGTATTTCATATTTGTTTTTGCATTCGTATGAGGCCATTAACTCCTCGAAGATTATATAAATTCCATAAATTCGGTCCATCATCTTGTGAGAACATGTTGTCTCTCACGATCGTCTGAAACGGAACAAACCAAACTCCTTGATACACAAAAACATCCATTTGAGCCAATCACATTGCTTCTATTGACGTCAGTATCTTCACTGTGACCACAGGCTACCTCTTGGGCCAATTGTTCAAATATTTACCATAGTATGAGAACAATACGTTTTAATCATCAGTTTTAATTACAAATTCCCCAGGAGGTTTACTAAGCTAGCACTGCACGATTTGTGAGATTCAAAATCACGCAGACATCCTGTGGATGTTGAACGAAGCACAACAAAGAAACTGGCATGATGCATCACGTTTTGCCGTGGCCGGTTGATCAGCATTGTCGCTAAGAGCTCTATTAATTAAATACCTATAAACTGTTTGGAAGTCGGCAATTTGAGTTAGTTGAGCAATAGATTCAAAGACACTGTACTAACAAGTTGGACGTTTTGCTAGAGTGTTATTGAATGCCCTTCATTGCGGCAAGTACTGTAATTATGTGCAAAGGAAATCTACCGGAGATTAAGTTCTCAGATGTGAAGTGCTCATTTCGCCCTCGTACTTCACTGGGCTCTGCAAAACCAAATCGTTATACTTTGGAGCAAGAGGAACAGTCTGTAATTGACTTACCAAGACCAATAAAAACAGACTGTAGTCATGAAATAAAATTGGAACAAGATAACACAAGAAGAAAGACCATGGCAAGCCATTTTTTTCAAGAGGATTTATCTTTAGAAGCTGGTCAGTCCCAAATCCGCCCCAAAACTGTAAAAGTCACGAGCCGGGAAAGAGCACTTTGCAACGAGTTAATCACACTGTCTTTTGTCGAGAATACTAAGAAGAGCAATGACAAGGAGCATAAGAGAGAGATAGTTGTGTTTCTACCATCAGAAAAGCCAAGACATAAAGACGAACACAGAAACCAGACAGTTCTTGTACCTTTGCCTAACATTGGTACAAAAGACAGCCAAAAACATGTCAATGGTGACAATTTCAGGAAATGTAAAACTTCGCATCAACATGATGAAGAAGCATTTGCAAAAAAACCCGGATTGAGGCACACGATTGGTCTTCCTCTAATCGGAAGTCAATGTCAAGAAAAGAAAATGCCACTAAGAAGAGTTAAAAGTCACGACATTGAAAATCATCTTCGCAGTGCTGACAAGAACTTTGATAAACTCGAGGCAAAGGCATTCTTGGTGTACAATTGGATGAAGACTCAAAATGAACTAGAAACATTATAATACATTTTTTTTAGTTAGTAGTTTTGTTAAAACAATTAGTAGTCAGTTTCAATTTTTGAGTGGCCACGGGGCACTAAAATATGTGTGATATTTCCACTATTTGTATATTATATTTTACTCAATTAGATTATAGGCTAATTAATTATAATTATATAATTCAATTTGTTTCACTGTGGTTTTTGTTGCGCCATTTATACACCCATCAATCAAAGTAGATCTCGTCCGCCGAGCTTTTAGATTCAATCCCATCCCCAGACGGGCTATCATCCCAGATTTTGAATTGGTGGCATACAGCTCAGGTTTGCTTCGGTACCCTATTTTAACCTCACATTCGGCAGTTGCGCCCAAATTTGCGCTCTCGATGTGATTGACCGCATCAGTTACACGGTGAAATCGCGATCTTCGCGTTAATATAATTGAAATGTTTCAATTCAATAGCTAAATGACTCGAAGGATTTTATAGACTTTTTATAAATACTGGGGGAGTAAACAGCAAGTTTTTGAAGAAGAGAAATACAACTTAGTACCGTTTTTTTAAGTTCCTCTTTCTCATACTGACCAGTCAGATCAACTAGATCAGGTATTGTAAAAAGCAACTATGTCTTTAGAACTCAAACACTTAATATCAGGGGCTGCTGGAATTTTATTTATTCTGGTCATGTGTTGTGTGTTGGTTGAATGAATTAATATTGAAGGTCATTGAGTTTCTATGAAGTGTCTAACGTCACTGCAAAACGTTTGTATTGTCTGAGTATGGCGGCTTGTCCATTCAAAAGTAAAACAAAAAAAAACGTTTGTGGTAACAATACAATATTTTTACAACAATTAATGTTTATGTCATCAACGTTCCGACTATATCATTGTGATTAGAGTTGACAAGAATTTGATTCTTTTTTCAGAACTTTCTTTGCTTTACTTCAATGCGATTTGAGTTGTTTTGTGTGCGTGCAAGGCCGAAGGTGTCATTCTTCCGCAATGCATATCATGCGCGCGCAATTTGAGTCTAAGCTGTAATTCCTTTAATATTGGTAATGTGAAAAAGGTTTCTCTAATAACATGATTTGAACTTTTAAATTAACAGAATTTGTTGGCCAGCACGTTTTATAAAAGTTCTTTTGCAGTGAGTCAKTTCATTATACAGCTGTGAGATCGTGCTTTCAGTATTCTTGGTCTAATGATTATTCTCAAAAGGATTTTTCATCCAGTTTGTGCTTTTCTATAGAGTACATGATCATAGTACGTCGCTCTAACTGCATCAGCCTAGCTACAAGTGGCGAAGCCTCGGCGAAGCGTGCTACTACTGAGTTTGCACTGTAAAGTTTTGACTGGTTGTTGACATTATGTCKAGAATTTATTTTTTATTTGTTTAATGAAGCACACTGAGAGTGTATCCTTTCCTTTGTTATTGTATGCTATTATTCGACTACATAGTTTTGTTTTGGTTTACAGTGGAATTATTATCTAGAGTATTGTTTTAATTCCACAACAAAAGGCTTACCGAGAAAACTAATTTTTCCTGAGCCAACAATTTTGTGTCTATCACTGCTATTATTGTGATATTTTCKTTATTGCTTTGTCTGTATCTGGTCAGTTATTTTCTCCATACTGTGTGCAACTGTTATGCTGTACGTTTTGTATAATAATATCAAAAATCTACCGCATTCCTGGCACTTTTAAATCAATAGAAAACGGAAAACTTTACCRGCATTTCMTTTAGGGTTCCGAGGAATCAGTACAAAATACCTGTCTGAATAAAAGTGATTAACGATATCAACCGATGACAGGAGTTTCTAATCAATCTGCTGTACGAGAAGACCAATTTTGAAAACACAATTAAGATTCCTCACTTTGAAAAGGCTAACTTAACTGATCRAATAGCATTCCGAAAAAATCTAGGTATTAGCCGTATGCACATGTAYATACATTATTATTTCTATTTCCTCCATGTTTTTCATGTCGTCTAGGACGACCTAGTATTACCAATAGCCAAGAGTGCTATATTCGGGCGTCCCCGCTGAATATTTTACTGACAAGCTAAGGAGCACGAGCAGTGAGGCCGGGTCATCTGATCATGCATACCCAAAAAGGACCTCTTTTACACATCTGTCCATGCGAGTAGTATGCATCACCGGAATTCACATTCAATCAGGGTTTATAAAACCACAATCTTATTTTCCTAAGCACCTAATGCAAGTGCGGCACTTCTTTCTACTATAGTTTATATGAATAGCAGGAATAGGGCCGTGCTTCTCACAATGAAGAGCGCATTTTACTTTTATACCCTATGGTCGAGCAGTGTGCATCGATTCATAGGTAATATACAGCTACTAAAGGTATAGTCAAAAGAATGGTACATTGATGGGTGACGCGCGCGATGTGGATATCTATAAGAGAACATTAAAGGTATTTCAATATCAAGTTCTAGCCAGCAGGGAGTAAACGCTGCTTGTTGTAGTTACACACCGCAGACAACCCGCAGACAACCTCCCATAGCTGACTGATTATCACGTTTTCGTACTGCAGGCAGCTGTTATATAACACACTTCACCTTTTTTCTGATATATATTAATTTGATGACATCTACTGGTTCTCAGATGAGAAGTGTTCAGTTGACCACCGTACTTCTCTGTGCTCTTCAAGACCAAATCATTAATACACTTTGAAGGAGTAACAAAACGGGTGATTGACCCAAAACCCAAGATATAAAGACTAATATCAAAAAATAAGAATGGAACAAGGTGGTATAAGAAGAAAAACCATGTCAAGACATTTTTTTAAAGAGGATTTATTTTTGGAGGGTCAGTCCCAAATCCGCCCCAAAACTGTTAAAGTCACGAGCCGGGAAAGAGCACTTTGCAACGAGTTAATCACACTGTCTTTTGTCGAGAATAYTAAGAAGAGCAGTGGCAAGGAACATAAGAGAGAGATAGTTGTGTTTCTACCGTCAGAAAAGCCAAGAAATAAAGACGAACACAGAGACMARACAGTTCTTGTACCTTTGCCTAACATTGGTACAAAAGACAGCCAAAAACATKTCAATGGTGACAATTTCACGAAGTGCAAAACTTCGCTCCAGTATGATGAAGAAACATTCGCAAAAAAAAACGCATTGAGACACACGATTGGTCTTCCTCTAATCGGAAGTCCCTGTCAAGAAAAGCCGAAAATGCCACTAAGAAGAGTTAAAAGACACGAAGACRTTGCGAGTCATCTTCGCAGTGCTGACAAGAACTTTGATAAACTCGAGGCAAAGGCATTCTTGGTGTACAATTGGATGAAGACTCAAAATGAACTTAATTGAAACATTACAATAGGCTTTTATTAGAAAATTGTAAAGAGGCAGTATTGTAATACAATTTTGTCAATTTTAAATATTTATGGTCACAGTGCACTAATACATGTGTGATATTTCCACTATAGTACATTTTACTCAGTAGATTAAGTAAATCCATGATATCTCATTTAAATTGTACTGTTTATTTGCGCTATTCAGTAAGCTGCAAGCAGAATAGATCTTCCTCCTTTTACCTTCTCTAACTATTACTAATAATTTATTGACATTTTGAATTGGCACCACGCTCGCTTCGGTGGCACATGGTAACTCACTTCCTATTCGGCAGTTGCTCCAAAATTTGCCTCAATTTCAATTGATCCGATTGGCCGGCATTTTCCTCAAATTTATCGTATCATTTTGAGATGTTATTCAATKTGATTTAACTTAAAAAATTGTTTATTCTCTTTCTGATTGTTGCGGAATGATTTCATAAATTTTGAGTAAAACCAAAAATAGTCGTTATTGCGTGGAATAGGCAAAATTTGAACGGAATGCGGGATACAACTCGACCGACTGTTTCTTCAGTTCCTCCGACCTTTGTCATCTGTAAGAAAAAATATGTTTTTAATACTTAATCACTTCATCATAATTATTGTCTGGTAATGTTTATGCTGCTGTTGAATGAAACATTTTTGGATGTTATTGACTTTCTTTGCAGCGTCTATGACGTCATCGTAAAAAGTTTGTCAATTCAAAAAACACTGTTTGTGTGCCAGTGATAACAACAATAAACTTTCACAGAATTTAACGTTTCGATCATATCACTCTGATAAGAGTTGACAAGGAGTTTTGATCGTTTTCACCCATGCATTCCCATGATATTCAAAAAATAAAAGACCAGCGGCCATGTTGGACGAATGAACAATAGATACCGATGAGAAATCGTTTGTTGAAGTTCCTTCAAGATGGCCACTGTGATGTAACATGAAAACGAAGAATAGTATGATCAAACTACGTCCCTCCCGATTGCATAACTTCATCAGTAAATACAACTGATACATGTGCCGAAGCCTCGACGAAGCGTGCTACTGTTTTGTAATAAAGTTATAAAGTTTTGGCTGGTTGTTGACAACTTATGTCTAGAATTTTTATTTGTTTTTTTAATCACACTGTGCCGAGTATTTCCTTCCTTTTGTTATGCAACTGAGATATTATATAATACGATTGTGTTTGTTGTATGATGGTGTTTCTTCAACAAAAGATTCACTGAGAAAACTTATCCTTCCAACTGACAATTTTGTGTCATTACTACTGCTCTTACAGCAAYCCTTTCTTCATTGCTTTGTTTGGATCTGATCAGTTGTTTTGTCCATACTGTGCAACTGTTACGGCAGCGCTTTTTTATGCGCGAAGGCGAAGGAAAAAATTAGCTGGATTTCCTTTTTGGTTGAGTATAAATGCACGTCCTCTTCTGAGCCGTAAAAGTGCAACGTTATTAATGATGTCAAGAAGTTTCTAATCAATCTAACTTCCGAAAAGACTACGGTCAAGTACGTAGTATCCCGAAAAAAGCCGGAGTTGTATGTGCAACGTTGAGTCGTGTAGGTGCTATTGATTATGGTACCATATTATTTTTTTTTCCTCTCATGCATTTCAATTCTTTTCTCCATGTTTTCCGTGTCGTAGAATAATGTCGTCGTACTTTCGGCCTTGTGTCTATATCTCCCGATAAAGCACAGTTGAATTCTATCGATGTAGAGTTTTCAGTCGTTCGCGCTGAATGTTACAAGCGAAACGGCACATAAGGGTCCCGACACATCCGATACCAGAAAAGGAGCCTTTTATTTCCATTTTCAGTCCGCATTCAAAAACTATTAGTCATCAGTGTTACCAGGGTTTAAAAACTACACCCATTTTATTTTCCTGGGGCAGTGCAATAAGTGCGAATTTCACTTTCGTATTCTAATTTATAGGAATAAGGTGTGTTGTTTACAAGGAAGAGAGCGCAATTACTTATAGATTCTCATGGTTGAGCAGTGCCGTGTCCCACTTCACACGAATATCATATAATCGTTTTGTACCTTGATGCATAGGGTCGCAGATCGGTACATTGATGGAGTGACGCAAATCTGCATATCAAAGTTAACTCAAACTTGGGGTTTAATATAGTTCGTTGTCTGAGATTCCAGTCTAACTGCAAGAATGCGGACCTATCAATCAAAGATGCATGATGTAAGTACACCCCGTCGACAACCACCCATAGCTGACTGATTCTTACGAGTTAGTTCTGATATTTTTTTGATATAATGTATATGTTAACCGGTATATTGAGCAACACGGGGTGTCGGGCTGTGGGGTGCAAGGACARCATGCAGCCACATTAGTGTAGCTCCGGCCAATCGCGCCAACAGTCTTCCGCGGCAAATTGCGGGCTCTATGGGTACGAGATTGAGCTCTGACCAGCATGCCTGTCGAAATGATTGTCGTTTAAATAGAATTGCAAAATTGAAGAAGGACCAGGAAAGCTAATTAGCTAAAAATGAATCGAATGGAAAAAAACCCGACAACAAACAAACAAATTTTGATTAATGTATTCTGGCGCCAAAGTGCGGCAGTCAAACTCGTTTCCAGTCTCCCTCTGTATCCTCCTGTTGAGTCGAGTAAACTTACCCAGCGACCAGTTTGCAGGCTTAAATCAGGCTCAAATCGAGAAAAATTAGAGTAAATACGTTTAGATTAAGTCGAAAACAAATATGTCTTTTGAAAAAAGTGAATATTTCAAAGGTTTTTGTCAAAAAATCCATATACAAAAGCTTGGTTGATAAACACAACGTTGCTATGGCTACCTCTTCCGCCATGTTAGACAACCGGGCTGCAGATCCGTAGGCTGTTCGCTCCGTGGAGCCAAAGATTATCGAATTTAGAGCCTTTAAAACTAAGAAAGAAGGCCAATGACAGCTTAAAAAGGACACTAACCTTTACCTTAAAGTTTTTATACGCAAATTAAGTCAAGAGGAGCACGATTTTGTCAAGAAATTTGTAAATAGTTAAAGAGTTTCAAAGCGCGCTAAAAATCCCAGAAGAAGCAAGATGGAGTTCAACGACGTACGCTTTGACTTCATTGCGGACTACGTCCAAAAGACCATGAAAYTAAAAGCCGACAAATGGGCTAAGCTACAAGGAAACGAAGAATATAGACAAATAATTTTGGATTATTTTGAGAAACCAGACAATAATACGCTGGTAATTGCGTTGTCCAGTGCTGGGCAGTTGGTGCCATCGTACGAGTATCCATCAAGCATGAAGAATAAGGCAGTGTATTTTGTGAAGAAAGAAAAAGGGATTAACATTGGGAAAGACAATTATAAAAATTCTTTAAGTTATGGGGACTTATCTGCCTCACCTCTGGACCAACTTTCTGTTCTAGTGGAAGAGGTAACTTGTGCATTTTTTATGTGAAGTGTTTCACCTACTAGTCGAGAAAAGATGGATGATGGCGTCAGCAAGTGACCCAAAAAAATTATTTTTTCGTGTACTTTTATTACTTTTATCACCCTAAAAACTAAGTAAAAGTAGCTCAAAGAGATTATTGTGTTACTTTATTGGTATTTTTAAGTTGTATGTTTGTTTTTGTTTGTTTTGATGCAATTTTACTAAAAAAGCAAAATGCTGTTTACGTAGTACCTTGATATTTGTTTAGACCTCTTTGTAAAGCTTAAATTTTGTAACAGTACATAGCCTACTAAGTACCAACCATTCAAATATATGTAAAACTGCTTTTTGTTTTGTTTTATTTATTGTTAGAGTTTTGCATTTTGTTATTTGATAGCTAGACCTTCTCACAATAATGTTACTTTTGTCCAGATATTAGTCCCACTTTTATCAAACCCTCGCAACCATGAACAGTGGCCTGCAGTTGTATCTCAAGATGTTATGCGACATGTACATCAACTAAAGAGCAATGTTTTTGTTATTGCTGGTCAAGTCAAAGGCAAGACGTTGTTACCTTTGCCAGTAGGCTCAGAGCAGGTCTCTGATGCAGTCGAAGCAGAGGAAAGGTAAAGAAAAACTCACAATACTCTTCAATTAGCATTTAGAGTGCAGTAATTTTAAATATACATTAAGTAGAATAATCCTTTACAAGTCTACTACATGTACATACTTTGTGGGAACACCACAGTGTATGTTATTAAGGGGGCGCTCACAAGGTCACGAAAAAAACTTGTCTTWAGTTCTTTAGCAGACTGTACAGACTGTAATAAGCAAGCTGCAATCTGTACTACAKAGCAAATGCAGAGRTTTCTTATATTTGGAAGTAGRYGGCTGTTGTTAAACRGTATACATATGTGAATTTTAAGGAGCCACAAGCGTTACAACTGTAATATGGCAGAAGTAGCCAGCCTCATGGTCAAAATWGATGCCAYATTTCTCCTTTTKGTGGCTTCTAATAAAATCCATTAAATGGAAGATGAAGGGAACATAASAATGTCCCGAAAATTGAATGACGYTATGTAAACAGGCAAACATATTTTCATRTRTTCATTTATTTCAATTTYCATTWTTTCAAGGGGTGATACATTTGACCGTAGTCTTGTACATTCAATTGAATCAGTCATCATTGAATGGAGCCATCAAATTCAGTCAGTYCTGAAAAGAAATTCAGCCCAGCCACTACTTGATGGAATGAATCCTGGTCCTTTAGTAGAGCTGGATTTCTGGAAAGCCAGAGCAACAAACCTTGAATGCATCTTTGAACAGGTAGAACAACAACTACAAATGAAATCATTTTATTAATACCAATATTGTACTAATACACAGTACCTTAATTCTTTTTGTTATAATTTCTAATCAGATTGTTAATGTTATATATAATTGTTACCGTTATCAACTGCATCAAAATTGTTCCCAAAATGCCCTCATCAGCAATGCCTAATTATATTTTTGTATCATTTTCTTATATTTCATAGCTGCATGATGTCAAAGTAAGAAGGATGGCACAACTGTTAGAAAAGACTCAAAGCAGTTACTTTCCAGCCTTTAAGAAGATATTCAAAGATGTTGTTGCTGGTGAGAGAAGATACATTATATGTGATATGTTCTGAAATGTTTATTGTTATATTTACAAATACAACCATTGAAAAGCATACAAATTCCAGCTTTTATTGAACAAAGAAGACAAGAGTGACTTAGTACAAATTCTCAATKTACTRTTGTACTTTTTATTTCAAATAGCTTTRGATGAAGCAAGAGACATCACCCTCTACCTCAAGCCACTGCGACGACTACTTGAGGATATGGAGCAGTATGACTTTTCTGAATTGAATAAGATCCTCCCAGCTATCCTACATGTGGTTGGCTTATTGTGGGCTAACTCCAAGCACTACTGCTCAGCGCCAAGAATCATYGTTCTGCTGCAAGAACTCTGTAATATGATCATTGAAATGGTATGTGTGTATGTTGTTAATTAAAATGGATGGATGATCGAAATATAGGAATGAAATACTGAATGAATGGATGGAAATGGGAATAATATCTGATTGACAAGTTTTTGTTTGTTTTCTAAACAACATTTAGGCCAGAACATACCTCGATCCAGCAGAAATTTTCAAAGCAGAGGTTGAAGAAGCCTATGAAAAGACCAACAAAGCCATTGAAATATGCATGTTATTCAAAGACACCTTCCAGGACAATAGAAAGGACATTGGCAAGTTCTTCAAAGAGGAATCTGAAGTCAAATCCTGGGAGTTTGGCAATGAACTGGTTTTCACAAGGCTTGATATGTTTGTTGACAGACTAAGAATTGTAGAGGTAAACACTGAAAAACATTACATACAAGATTTTGTTTACGATCATGTAAAAAAATGTACACTGACTTTCTTATATTTTTTTTCCCAGGATGTCTTTTCCACTGCAATGGAATTTAGCAAGCTGGAAAAAGTTGAAATTGCTGGTATCAAAGGCAAAGTTCTTAGCCACCAAGTGGTTGAAATATTTGAAGAGTTTAATGAGTTGTATGCTATGTTTGGTAACAAGACATATGATGGACTTGATGCTACCAACAAGGTATAGATTTTGAGATACAAATCTGGTGTCTGTTGACATAGTCCAGGGAGGGGGGAGGGGGGGGGCAGTCAGCTGTATTTTTTTGTGATAAAAGTGATGTTTCAATTTCATATTTATCAATACTGTGTTGATGTTTTTTTTGTAGGAGTTTGTTGATGACTATCATCAATTCAGGGACAGAATTACTGACCTTGACAGAAGACTGGCATCAATAGTTTGTCAGGCCTTTGATGATTGCCCAAGCACTGAGTCAGCTCTCAAGGTACAGTATCCATCTTAAATCCTTATGTTTGTTTTGAAAACCTTTTAAAGAAATGTTTGATAATGATGTTTTTTTACTCAACATCAGTATTCACGGATATTAATGMAAACTAAATATCTCAGGGCTCGAAATAATGGCCAGACACATGCAGGACAAGAATATTGCACAAATCTCATTTTTTGTGTGTTTTAATTTGCAGCTGTTGGATTGTCTTGGTTCTCTTCTGGACCGGCCATTGATTCATTCTGACTTTGTYAACAAGTACCCAGTACTTCTTAGAATGTTTGAACAGGAACTAGACCTATCCAAGGTCATCTTTGACAACCAGATGGTAACAGAACAGACTGAGGGTACTCCTCCCATCAACAAGAACATGCCACCCATATCAGGGGCACTGAAATGGTCAAATGAACTTAGAGACAGAATCACAAAACCAATGCAKGCACTAAAGCTGTCACTAAACCACGGGTATGTCCCTGGA